TAATTTTTGGTATAGTAGTTGTGACTTATTCACACTCTATACATTTGGCTTCCGCAACAACATCATCACCTCACTTTTCTTATCAAGCCATTCAAGAATATAAAAAAATGTATGGCTAAGGATCAGAATTCAGTGACAGCAAGCATATTCATGGAATAAGATAAATATGTAAAAAACATGTAAAATAAAACTGTCGAGAATAAGCATCCAATTGACAACATGAAGACTAATATCAATTGTTGCCTCTGCACAAACTCTTTTCCAAAACTGTTTTCCAATAACAACAATAACAGAATCATGCTAAGAAAAAAACGATCTCCAAAGAGAGCTGATAATAGAAGAAATTATGGAAAGAAGAGTGTAAGTGAAAAATTGATCTTGCACGTCTAAAATGTAAGGTAAGTGATACGAATATAGAAATGTAATGAATAAACTCCATAATATTCACAATACACATGCGAAAAGCAAGTAAAGAATGAAAGAATCTAATAATACTGAATATTAACCTGGTTGTGAAACGTAAAAAACTAATGCAGTTCCATCACGAGGTGCATCTTTCTCAAATACAACTTTGTGCATCTGAATGTCCCTGAGACGGTGCAAATATATAGTTAAAAATACTCCACGTTTTGGATAAAATTTTAATAAAATAACGAAATAGATGCCAAAATATATGCAAAGATAAATCTTTAAAGACTTGCATCTTACTCAAGTACAACTTTGTGTATCTGAATGTCCTGGGATAGCTGGGATAGAAAAAGAAGCACCACATTTTGAATAAAACTTTAATAAAATAACAAAATAAATGTCAAAACATATGCAAATTTAAATATATTTTCTATATACTTTCAGTTTTAGTTCTTTTATCTTACAATTTACAGGTTCTTACATGTTCCAAAGTTATGAGTTCGGAGGTTTATGTGTTTGGAAGTTTACGAGTTTAGAAATTATAAAGTTTACGGGTTCGAAAGTTCGCGGTTTAGAAAGTTTAGCGGTTCGGAAGTTTATGACATATATGGGTTCGACAAGTTGTTGGTTCGAATGTTTATGACTTCATATTGATTGTATCTAAATTATTTATGAATACTCTTGAAAAATTATTTTCCTTAATTATGTACCAAACACCAGAAATGTACCAAAAATTATTTCGACTCCATTGCATAGCAGCTCCCCTGATCGTCGGATCGTGGTTAGTGTTCTCTGGCTCTCTTTCTCAAAGATTTTACATTGTTATTATTTCTATTTCTCTGTTGCAAAAGACGGATGATTTGGGATGATAACTTGCATTTCATAATAATTACTATAATTAAAGATTCGAGCAAATAGATGTGTTAACATAGCTCAATTTTCGAATAAGCAATATCAGTGAATTAGGGTAAAGAAAGAGTTTTTACATCCCGTGATTATGAAGTACCAATGTTGTCTTCTTATATAATTGCAGAAAGACTTAGATTATCTTCTGGCAATGGCTGTTGCATTCTACAATCTCAACTCAGATTCTGGTCTGAAGAAGCTTGATGAGTACCAATTAACCCGTAGTTATATCACAGGGTGCATGATTGTTCTCCAATTCCTCTTTGATGATCGATGATGTCTTTTTATATGTCTTAAGCATTTGTTTTGTTTGTTCAACGTTCAGGTACCAAGCCTCGAAGGATGATATCACTGTTTATTCTTCACTAGCAAAACCACCATCATCTGAATATGTAAACGCATCTAGGTGGTCTAAGCACATTGATGCGCTTATGAGAATCTCGCAAGTTATACAGCTTTGTCTATTCATATTTTCTTTGGTGATCAGTTTAGGTATTCTTGAATAACCTTGGCATCTCTAACCGAATACGTGTCTTGTAGTGGTGTATCTGGAGAAGGCTCTGGTGTTAAAGTAGAGGGCTCTGCTCCTATCATCGCGCCAGTGGCAACTCCTCCTGCCGCTGACGCTAAGGTTTGATACTCATGCTATCTACCAAGTGAAGTTTGTTGATTTTTTTTGTTAGTATGATAAGGTCTAACATGTTAAATGTTTGATTGACTTGATCCACCTAAGGTTCCTTATTTTGTTGTTTGGATGTAAGTGTGAATGCTATTCCAGGCCACAGCTGTAGAGGATGACGAAGATGATGATGTAGACCTATTTGGTGAAGAAACTGAAGAGGAAAAAAAGGCTGCTGAAGAGCGTGCTGCAGCTTTGAAGGCTTCTGGAAAGAAGAAAGAATGTGAGTTATTACCTGTATATCCAAATAGTTTCTTTCTGCATTTGTATCATCTACTGGATATGGATGAAGAGTTTCTGATGTTTGTTTAAAGAATCACGCTGGTACGGATTTAACAGGATTTTAAAGCCACTAAAACAGAGTTTTTAACGAATATAAGAAGCGACCCATTTAGTAAAAACTTGACATTTTCTCTTAAACTTGTTTGACTTCAGCTGGCAAGTCCTCAGTTATTTTGGATGTAAAGCCATGGGATGATGAGACTGATATGAAGAAGCTTGAAGAAGCTGTTCGAACTGTTCAGATCGAAGGATTGTTTTGGGGAGCATGTATGATTTATATTAATTCATACTATTATGTTGTAGGAGTATTTCTTTTACTGTTTCACTACTCGCTAGAAAGTCTTTTTTTACTGGGGGAGGGGAGGGGCATGTGTGCGTTTCATTATTCCAGCACCTTTGAGCATTTCACTCTCCAGTGCATGTGGATCCTATCTTTTTGTACCATTCGTCCAGCCAGAATTTCAAGAACTGCATTGTAAGCTGCTGAAGCATTTTCCTATGTAGCACAATCAGCTAACCCACTATGACATTTGATTGCAGCAAAACTTGTCCCAGTTGGATATGGTATGAAGAAGCTGAAAATACTTACCATTGTGGATGACTTGGAATCTGTCGTTGATCTCGCTGAGAATTATCTGACGGTCGAACCAATTATCGAGTATGTTCAGAGCTGTGATATTGTGGATATCATATAAAATATGTAAGTAAATTAAACAATGTTTGTATTTTTGTTTCTACTAGATTATTTTGCATGTTTGTTTTGCTGTTTTTTGATCATCTGCTGCTTCTTGTGACAGGAAATTATTACTGCATGGAGGTGATAGCGATGAGTGATGAAAGTTAGATCTGGTACGGTCCATCTGTTTTGTTCCTTTGGATGGATTTTATGAATAGTTGGGTAATTTCCTTGAAAGGATTGGAATTTTGCACTTGATGAATGCAAATACTATATCCAAGTTATTTCTTTAGATATCTGCATAGCTGCAATGCTACAATGTTTCCCAGCAGTACATTTTGCAACATTGATGCATGAGTTTAAACATAAAATCATCTATTTAAATTTTTACTCAATCATGTCACATTTACATGTTGGCGTATTTTTAAGATTATAAATCTCATATTTTAAGGAGGCTTACCTATAGAAATCCTTAGAATGACCTGATAGGGTAAAAAGTGTTCATCTACCATGGAGGTCTACCTTCATATTCACTATGATTAAGCAATAAACGGTTAAATAAAGATCTTTTCTGCATATAGAGCATGCGTGTTTCGATTTTTGATTTTAAAAAAAGTAAGACATGAAGAAAAAAAGGACTATAGGATATATAGCCAATTTGACGAAATAAAGACTGGAGACCGTTCTCTGGTCGAGGCCAGCATGTTTAATCAGGCGATTAATCGTGAAATATTTTTCAAAATGCAAAAACTATGATTTGAGTAAAAAGGATGAAGTTTTCATTGCCAAAAGAGGAACTCAATATTGGCTATCTATGGTCGATACACCAGAAAGAGTGATATGAAGACAAGTTGCAGAAGCAGTTATAAGCCTATAACTCAGTGAAAATCAAATCTGCAGAAGTCAAAAGCACATTCTCCAGCAACTTCGCCTTTTAAAATCTCTCCTACCTGCTTCCACCATCTTTGCAGGGCTGCCGGTCCACTCTGAGGTTAATCTGTTTGATAAAGAATTACCTTAGTAAAGTGTTGCGATTGAGGTCAGGCATGAGAAATAGTTTTGCAGAAACTTACACAGGAAATGCAAAAGATTTCGTGCTGTTGGTGCTACTGGAGCGAACTGAGATGTTATCATTACATTGCTTCGATGCTGAGACCATCATAACATTCGAGTCTTCACGATCTGGAAGCTTTTCAGTATTCTGACTTGCAAATAATGACGCTAAACTTCTCATTGGCGTTCCATCTTCAATGTTGGAGCTCTTTTTGTCGTTTGAATTTGATCCTTCTCTAAAAATTGAATCTGGTATATTGCTTTGGTCACTACATGCTTCCTTGTTCATCTCTTGATCCTATAAAAAAGAAGTTAAAAGGTAAGGAGATCATGACAATGGTAATGGAGCAATAATAAGAAACTTCTCCTGCATCATATCTTCTTGACAATTTACTGTTAGGTTTCGGGAATGGAAAATGAAAGAGGCACCTTTTGAATTGCACCTCTTCATCTCACCCTTTCATTGTCTATAAATTTAGAGGCTTTGCCTCATTTTTCAAACATGGAAAATCTCAAAACTTTTCCCCTCTTTTCTACATTTTCAAGTGTGATTTGCTCAGTTTGTTGAGTTCGATGAAGTTCTGTAATTTTGATTGCCAGTATTACAGAATAGTTTTTCCGTTTTATCTTGGGAGGAAGTAATCCATAACCTTGTGCAACAGTGAGAGGACTAAATTCCTTAAGGATATACAAGCAACTTGTGGGCCCGGAATTATTTTACGATTTGTTTATTGAACTAACGTTTTTTCCCCTCTGATTTTCTGGTTTCGAACACAGAATACTATCATTTACGCGGTAAGAGTAAGAGAAAGAAAAAGAAAAAGAAGGAAAACAGAAACTGAAACAGAACAAGGCAAGAATTGCAAAGTATACAGAATATACCTGATTATATTTATTATCAACCAGCTCTCCATCCAAACTCTGCTCTTTTGGCAAAGGATGGTAAAAACTAATGGCACCAGCAATCTCAACTTCAGCACCAGTATCAGCTTTACCTTCCATCAACAGCTTCTTAGAGTCGTCAAAGTGCTTAACAGTTCCCTCGAACGATTCAGGCTTGGATTCAGAAACATGCAAAACTCTGTTCTCTAATTCAGCATTATGATCTAGCTCATACTTAAGCATGTAATAAATATTATTGTGGTTCAGCTCACAATTTTCCAAAGAACATTCTTCCCCATCCATACAGATGTCCTTGAAAACTTGATGATTGTTGTCTTGAAGAAAAACAACTGATTCGGGTAATCTGCACTCCATATAATTCAGATCTTACAAATTCAGTACCCTTTTGTATGCTCTATTTTTCTACTATTCTTTTCTTTTCCTTCTGCTAAGGAAGATTGCATCTTTCTCTGCAGCGAATAAAGGAAATTTCATGTTCTCAGCATTCAATCACAAACGAAATCTATTTTAATAGATAGATCATAGGTAACAATGTAACATGCTATGAGGGATTGTGTGATATCTGCATAACCAGAAAGTGAACAAGGGATATTTGTTCATGGAAAGAAATAATATCCAAGTAGTACAGCTTCACCAATTTTCACTGTGGCAGTATTTTCAAATAACAACAACAAAACCAGTTGAATCCCACAAGTGGGGTCTGGGGAGGGTAATGTGTACGCGGATTTTACGTCTAACTTATGAAGGTGGAGAGGTTGTTTCCAATAGTCACTCCGCTCAAGAACAGTGAAAATGAAGCAATAACCAAATAATAGCAATAACAAGGTATAGGCGGCGAAAGCAAATGGCTAAACATGTACTAATAACCAAGATTTAGGAACATGAGAATACAAGAATAGTACCAATACTATCGGTAAGATTGACGCACCGGGTAATAATAAGGAAAAAAATACAAGATTAGTGTTAATACTACTGGTAAGACAAGGAGAATCTCTCGATTACCTCTCAACCTAGCAGTAATTTTAAATAAATTTACTAAATTAAACATTTCCTATAAACAATAAGCTAATAATGGAAGTAATAAAGATTGAAAATTGCAAAAAGTTAAAGCATGGAGAAGTATTGAATTGCAAAGAGAAGAAAAATATGATACCAATAAACAAGCCAAAACATCTAACAAACCATTGAAAGTGGAAAGCCAACTAATTAGGGAGAGTATAAGACCTCAGATTAGAAGGTCTCAACTGTTTCTAATATTATGCCATTTAAGTAATGGCAACAGTTACAGATATATATAATTAACATACGCTTGTGGAAATTTCTAGAAATGATAGTTCAACAAATGCTTTATATATATTTTTCTATGCTTTCACAGATCACAACTACATCTCCTAAATACAAAACTTTTCCTGACAGCAAATCACTCCAAAAAAAACAGCCCGGCGCACTAAGTTCCCGTTATGTACGGGATCCGGAGAAGGGTCGGACCACAAGAGTCTATTGTACACAACTTTACTTTGCATTTCTGCAAGAGGCTGTTNATGTTATGGCCGGAGTCCTACTCATGGCGACCTGGTTGAATTGGGGGAAGCTGTAGGTATTATTGCAGGTCAATCGATTGGAGAACCGGGTACTCAATTAACATTAAGAACTTTTCATACCGGAGGAGTATTCACGGGGGGTACTGCAGAACATGTGCGAGCCCCATCTAATGGAAAAATCCATTTGATCTCCCAATTGAAAAAGATAATTACTACATGAGATAGCACATAAGATAAAGGAAAGAATCTTTCTTATGTGTTGATCAATTAGCAACTCTAAGTGGGAGATTCAATTTCAAATGGTAATGTCGGAAGTTCAAATTTCATTGATCAAAGTTATAATTAGTTGAATCTTGCTTGTCATCTACAAATTATTTACCTAATAAATAATTAACCAGGAAATCTAATATATTTTATCGAATGATAGGTTTCGCGAGGATGTTTATAAACATATTTTTATAAATTTCACCAATTTTTATGATACAGTATAACCGAACATAATGATAAAGATATTAATTTGACTTATACGTCATGCTAGTGGCAACGAACTAGAAAATTAAATAATAAATTAATAGCTGATAAAATCCAATAATCTCATTTTTTAGCTTTCAAACCCAACTAGCTCCTGCTTGAAAGCAAGAAGGCTTTAGTATAATCCCACTTAGTGGGGTCTGGGGAGAGTAATGTGTACGCAGACCTTACCCCTACCCTAGGGTAGAGAGACTGTTTCCAAATAGACCCCCGGCATCCTTCCCTCCGAGAACTTCCCACCTTGCTCTTGGGGAGACTCGAACTCACAACCTCTCGATTGGAAGTGGAGGTTGCTTACCATCAGAGCAATCCCTCTTGTCAATAGTATAGATCAAATTTCCAAGGCAATGCTAATATTCACCTAGAAAGGAATAACGTTATATAAAATGATCAATGGTATTATATTGAATATTTGAGATGCCTCAAAATGAAAAAATGTGATATAAATTTGGATGAAGTGAGAAATAATTTTAGATTTAAGTTATATTCATTAATAATGATTCTTTTACGCTATTAATATAATTTAACTAATAAAGTACACCATTTTTTTTAATTTTAAGGTAACCAGATTAGATTTTTAATAAATATTTATCTTCTATTGTAAATTTTAACTTGATAATGTATAAAATTATTCACTATCAACACGTAAGTTTAACCCACTTTATCTGGTATTAATAGGCATTAAATTGCATTTCAAGAAAGGATCTATAATGGCATTCGAGTAACACGATTTATAAGTCGTATTTGAAGAACACGATTTATAAGTCGCTCAACTAATGCAATTTATAAGTCGCATTCCTGCTATGCGATTTGCTTTTAGCTACATAAATGCGACTTCAAAGTAAACTTTATTAACTGAAGTTGGAAGCGTCTAGTGATGTAGCAGCTAAGATAGGTAGAGTTTAGAAGTAAAACCTACATTCAGATATGAATCCAGTATTTAAATTTTATGAGTTTAATTTTAAGGTTTTTAACATTGAACTCATTATATTTTTAAAGTTATGAGTTCATATCTATTACTTTTACAAATTTAATAAATTTTTACATACAAATTTTTATTCCGCGTCAAAAATTATAGGTACAGTAATGTAGGAGCCGGCAAGAATAAAAATTGAAAAGGTAGCCTAATTAAGTACCGATTTGGTGATTGTAATAACATGTCAGCATGTTTTGCATTTACCTATTTACAACATGGTGATTCATCCATTTTCTATCCTCTGAAGATCTTATAAATGATTTGTTTCATTTTTTGTATCATTTCAAGGCTTTATTTAAATAAACGAAGAGCTAAAATTATATATTTGGAAAAAAAGGCCGGCCGGCATATAAGTAGGGGCAGCGTTTGGCTCTGATCGAGAGGTTAAACCGTAATTACCTAGAAATAAATGGGTATTTAGTAAATCTACCGTTCTTTTTTTTAGTTGTAACGTCCCTTAACGCAGATTGAAAATGTAGCCTGGTAAGAGCAAGGAATTTTAAAAAGGGCAAAAAAAGAGCAAAACTTTCTTTTTAAAGTCATAGCAAAATCAAAGGCATTTCAATTTTCAAAATTCTCAGAATCGACAAATCTGTCTACTTGACAAATTTGAAAGTCATCTCATCTCCGACAATGTATGAGCCGCAGCAGTTGTTGGATTTGCAGGACAACAATGGCGATTTCGGTGGCGGAGCTGACTCCAGGTCTTGGCTTTCCGGCGAAGACCGCTCCCCTACTCTCCGGCGAACTGATTCTTCTCTCTCTAATTCGGCTGCTGGAAATGTTGACCGCATGCTGTTCAATGACCTCGTCGAGATCGTTCCTCTTGTTCAGTCCCTCATTGTAACTTTTTCCCTCTCTTGAACCTATTGCTTTTTTTACTTGCGCCAAGTTATTCTTATAGGCGTGTAAATTTTGAATTTTTCATGTGATTTCTTACAGGATCGAAAGGCGAAAAGTTCATTTACTAGAAGGGGATCAATNTCCCCCCCTCCCCACACACCTTCGCACTCCCCCACACGGGGCATCCTTTTTAGTCTTAAATCTAGAAATGATATAATTCTACTGTGATATTTCGTGTATTTGTATTAATAATTTGCTGTCTCAGTTTCAAATTGCTTGGTAATTATAATCTTCCGTGTGCAAATTCCTTTTTTAAGTGTTTGTATATATAGTAATAGAAGCAATGTTTAATAAACCCCAGTTCTCTGGAACCTCTTCCTTTATTGGAACAAATTTTCCTTCTTCATTTCCTAGAACATTATGAGGCTCGAGTTGATGAAATGTAATTAATGCTTTACCTTCCTGGCAATATTTTCAATAGGGAAGAAATTGCAGCTTCTGGTAGATTAGGACTTTGACATGTTGAATTAGGTCTAAGATACAGCAAAGTAAAGTGCCGGTGGACTGAATTTTGACTTACCTTGAACTGTAAATTTTTTATGGCTAATAGGAGTAGTAATTCAATTCCTGTATGCATATATCTATTTTCAGGATTTCAAGTTGATAATAGTGTCGTATCAGAAAAGTAAATAATATTAAGTACATTGTTTGTTTTTCCAACGAATGCTTCAAATTCTGTACTGAACATGTTCTGCGAAGTGTCTCACTTTACTGACATTCTCTTCAGTAGCTTCAACGTAAAAGTAGGATGCAATTTGCTTTAAGTCCAATAGGTTGTCTAAACCCAACTGAAATTTATGTTTATCTTGGTTCTCAGACCTAGTTTTCACTTAGGTCTATTTGAACTAGTGATCGAATATCTATTCAAATATTGTTTAGAGTACTTTCACCCATGCTATTTCCTGGTTCGATGACAATATGAATCCAGATATATTCTTGAACACATGGCACCTTTGGTTTTATGGTTTTGCCCTGCTTTTTCATTGTGATAGACACTTTGAAAGTCAAACTCTCTGGATTTCACCAAATATCTTTTATTTGGGTCCATTCTTTGTCTCCGTGTGTCTCCAAAGTGAGATTAGGGGTGGCCATCTGGTACTTCGGTACGGTATTTAAAAATTTCGATTCGGTACTTCAGTATATCAATTATGTATACCAAATACTGTACCAAAGTAGTTCGGTACGGTTCGGTATTTTTTAGTTTGGTTTGGTACGGTTCTGTAAGATTGCTGTTAGTTTTATTTATTTGCTGGGGGAGTTCTAACAATAGTTTGTCGATATAATCCAAATCCATGAGATAACCATATTGGTTTGTCAACAACTAACTCGAAGGAATAACGTTTTCATCTATTCCACTCAATCTATCTTCAAATGCCTAATATTAGTACGGTACTTAATCCATATTTATGGTAATCACTAATCGTTCCTTTACCCTGAAAAGCTCCCGCCGTGAAAACCAAATCTGCCAAATTTATGTTCTAAACGAGAATCCGCATTAGAGCAACAAAGGACAGAGGAACCAAAGAATCTAAAACAACAACAAAAAGAGGAACTTTTCAAATATTATTTAGTTCCAGAATCAAATAAATGAAGATATCAACACATTCCACCAAGTTGGATTTTGTAATCTTGGTATATATATCAGATTGCAAGTCAAAAGTCGAAGATTGGACTTGGGTAGTTGAATTGGGCCTACTGGCTTTAGGGGTTGGACAGTTGGACTTGGGTTGGGTAATGGAGAATTGGGCTAGGCTTACTAAAATATTTTGGTATTTCGGTTTACCAAAGTATCGAAAGTTCAATACCGAGAACCGTACCGAAGTACTGAACGTTTGAAATATTTATACCGAATTAGTACCGAAGAACCGATACCGAAATACCGAATTAATTTGGTCCGATCCGGTTTTTTGGGTTTTCGGATTTTATGCCCACCACTAAGTGAGATACTAGAAATGTTAGAAATGTTACAGTGTTACTACTCTGAAATCAGCGCTTCTGGCTGGTTGAGACGTGCTCCAGAAACCAAACTGGAGAGAATCTTCTGTTGGTTTCTAATGAGTTAAGGAAAGTAAGTGTTATGTTTCAGCAAGGCGGAGAAAAACGATAACTAACATAAGTTGACCTATTGGGTAGGATAGGGCTCAGTTATAAACAGGAGGCTTGGTTGACATAAGGTTGGATGTTGGACAAAGTCAGTCAAGTTTTTAGCATGAGACTTTTCAAGAATATAAATTGGGTTAGACAAGATAGGGGTGCAATGGCACATGATGACTGCAAGTATATTCCTTTTCTACTAAATTCACCATCCTGCTTTCGTACGACCTCAGTCTAATTACCACGAATAAGGATAACCCAGATATAGAGGAATGACACGGCTAAGAGATAAATTCACACATTTTCTTTTTCTGGTGAGATGGGGGAATCAATTTAGATAGAAGAGGTGCAATAGAATTTCTCACGAGTACCTCACAGGCCATTGCAAACACTCTATTCAGGTAATCATATAGGAGTAACTAATATAGTTCATAGAAGTCATAAGATTTACATTCCATCAAAACAATTTGAGTTAATCTGCAGGCTTCTTCGTCATATCGGGATAGAGAAATCTGTTGGGAGATAGAAGCTTTCACAAATCAAGCAAAACATGAAAAAGTTTAAACAAGTGACCACAAATTGCAGTATTGTACTACTTATGCGATTCCTTACAACCCGTCTTCTCTATATTCTTGCAACTGTAGTGAAAAGCTGCTTCCATCTGGGAAATAGTTTTTTCAAAAGACTAAGAAAGTAAATTATTATATACTATGCAGGGTGCTTGTTTTTTAGATAAAGTATATTAGGGTGGTTCTCGAATAATAATGTGATATAAGTCAGTTTGTCGATTCCGGTATTCGCTTGAGTACTTATTATTGTGATTGCATCTTTCAATTGGGCTGCTTTATCGATGTTTCAGTCTTCCTTGTTATATTTATGCCATTTTCCAGCTTGTACTGAATTGACTGCTAATATTGTAGGGGACATCCTTCTTTTGGGATCTGCAATTAGGCTATAGTTAAAAGATGGCAAATTAGAGGCTGGAGTAGAAGGTTCAAAATGTTAGTTACCATTTCAATGGCAATCGGAAGGTTGAGAGAGCCTAGAAAATTAACTATATAAAACTTCTTCATATTGATTTGTAGGAGTAATAACTAATTGTATGGAACAATAACGGCAGGCATTGTTCAGGTTCATGACAGGTCAGCACGAATCAAAATTGGGGTTTCATCTACACTGACTAAATTAGAGTTTGCATTAAAAAGAAAGCATCGTACATGCATCCAACTTTGGTGGCTACAGTTGCCATGAAACTTGGATATGCTGATGCAAGAGAAAAGTGGCATGATGTATTAGCCTCTAATAGTAATGTTTTATTTGAGGTTATAATCTTACAACATCAATATCTAAAATTTTACTCATAAAAAAGAGTTAAAAGGAAGTTTATCTTACTCTATAACAATTTCTTTAATGTACTATTTCTCTCCTCCCGCTCGATATCTTGTCTCAGGTAGTAGGTGAAGCCATTTCCATCAACTCGCTACTATAAATGAGCAGTCAACTTTGTCTAGCTGAGAACTGACCAAATATGATACTTGTATTAGTTGTTTATGTGGAATTAACTTCTGATTGCTTGCATATTCTTCTCTGTGGTTGTCCTTGCTAAACAAGTTTGTTTGTTTGTTTGTTTATACCCTAATTGTATGAGAACGAGCATTGCTTTCTTTTGGTCCATTAGAGATGCTAACACTGAATCACTGATGGCTGCTGCAGACGTCTGAGGCAAAAGGAAGGAATGCAGCTCAAACAACTGTGACGAAAAAGCATAGGGACCAAAATAAAAATGTTGACGGTAACCAAGATGGATGCACTGAGAACTTCTCAATGATTTTTTCAAGGTCACCTTTGTTAGAAAAAGATAGAGAAGAATTGATGGCTTTGAGGGAGCAAGTGGAAGATCTGCAAAAGAAATTATCGGAGAAAGATGAACTTTTGAGGGAAGTTGAGATCTCAAAGAATGAAATGGCTTCTATTTGTGCTAAACTAGATGAAATGAAGAAGGAATATGCCGAAAAGGACTCTTTACTCAAATCGACTCAAGTGCAACTCTCTGATGCAAAGGTGAATATATAATGTCAGCTTACGCCCTTTCCAACCCAACCCCCAAATTGAAAAGCAAAAAGATGCAATTTTTTCTAGAAACGCATGGCTTAACTTAAAGGTCACTAAGTTACCCTCTTAAACATTTGGCTCTACTTTGGCTGTTTTAGACAGACTAAGAAACAGAGATCACTTAGGAGTAGTTATATAATCATACCCTTTGCTTTCTGTTGAGTATCAGGAAGTAAATGCCAACCAGAAGTTTCAATCAATACGTTCTGGTTAATTTCCCCGAGGCTGTAAGTTTCACACTACTGCACATTGAACTGGCTCCTACTACTAGATCACTGCTTAGTTTGTATGCAGATTTTCAGGGGTAAACCCCCAACATTATGTCTTCCTTTTGCTCTCCTTAGGTTATGTTAGCTGACAAGCAAGCAGCTGTAGAGAAGTTAGAATGGGAAGCGACGACGTCCAGCAAGAAAGTGGATAAACTTCAGAACGATCTAGAGGTGGTTCGGCGAGAAATAGCATGGTTCATGCAGTTTGTTCAAAAATTGACAAAGAATGGTTCTAGGTCTTTAGCTGAAGATTATGATGTCATCCCTTACTTGTGCGACAAGAACATTGAAACAGTAAGCTAACCTTCCACACCTTTTATTTTGTCAAGGGTCTCTTGCCCTGCCACGCCCTTTGCGCAATCTCTGGCTAGGTCAAGCTATTAGGGAATTTACTTGATATATTTATCTTCTCAGCTTCTAGTAGATTTGTAAATCTCAAATTCGTTTTGTACAGGATCACCCAAACGAAACAGGAATGCAGGAACTGGAGGTGGCAAGAGAAGCTTACATTGCAGCAATTGCTGCTGCTAAAGAAAATCAAGATGAAGCATCTTTTTCTGCAGCTGCCAAAGCAAGACTATATCTGCAGTCACTTGTTCTGGGAACATAAACATGGATTCTGGTTGGGAAATTGACTGCTATATTTTTTTGTATTATTGTGCAAATGATGTTGTTTAAATAATTTATGGTGACAGTAAATTTCTCAAGTAATTGTACAAGAAATGGGTCCACGATTGATTACCAATATACAGAAGCTCTCTGTTGCTATGATTTGTTCTTTCGAATTCAGAATAGTGTTGTTGGATGTTACTCTTTTATTTTATTTTTTCTTCCTCTTGACCTTCCCATTGGTGTATCTATTTCAGTTCTATTTCTCTTTACTCGGTTTTGTTGCTGGAAGTAAGCAAAATGTACTAACAAGGACCAAAACAAAATGTTGATCAGTGTATAAAAGAACGATTTATATTCTTAACAGTTTGAGAATCCAACAGGAAAATCTCGTAGGGGAAAATGGGGAGGAAAAAAAGGTATCAAAATCTGCAACAGGGATGACGCACACATGTCCAAGCCTTATGCTTCTCGTAACGTGGGCCTTCCTCTGGTTTCGGCATTTGAGCTGGACTGCCCATCCAATCCCAGCCCAAACTGCAAATTTAGCAATATTGGTAACCAATTAAATAATTACCAATTTCAATGCAAAAAATAATTACACCATAAATAAGAGTAAAATAAGAAAGAAAATGGGATACTTACACAGGGAAGGCAAAGGAACCAGTGCTGCCATTTGAGTGATCATTAGACTCACTTGATTCAGCAGATGGACTCGTCTTGCTTTCACTAACATCACCTATGTGACTGATCTCTTTATCGACAGCAGGTGGCCATTCCTCTTCCATATCGTTGCTCCCTTTTCTCTCACCCTGCCAATAACAACATAATATTATTTCTAAATTCTAGACAAGAGTCTAAATCGGACAAATTTCCACATATAAGATCATATACACATTCGTCACCTCGTATATACGTCTTTTATGTAATTCAAATTTTAAGATGCCGAGTTGAGTAGTGCGACTATGCTACTATTGACAAATTTCATTGCCACAAGACGTATCAATAGTTTTTATTCTAAATAGAAAGAAAGTGAGATTTTTTCAAGTGCTAGAGTAATTTTCATTACCAAATGATCGGTTGAAGGTTTTGGTAAAGAATAAGTGAGAACATTGTTGATTAAGCGGAGTAAAAAAAGATAAAAATAACGGAACTTGTCTAAAGGACTTTACCCTTTCATCATTATCTTCTTCAGTTGTACCATAGCTATCTTCTCCATCTGGACTCACCTTGTTTTTTTGACGGTGACCATGGAACTCTTGTCCATTCTCCACATAATTAAGCTGCTTTTACAAAAGTTAAAAAAAAAAACTGTCTTATTAATAATTATTTTCGCACTTTTAAGTCATATTAAAAATTAAGCCAATGCTTCGACATTCCTAGTCTCAATCGACAACAACAACATACCTAGTATAATCTCACACGGAGAGATTTGGACTTTACCCGTACCTTATGGAGATAGAGAGGTTATTCCAATAACTAGTCTCAATCGAATTATGTAGTATTATCTATACCGTTAAGAGTGATACTTTTATCCAAATTCAACCCACAGAAAATTATTATAAAATGAATGTAATGGAGAAGAGTTAATTACCAACCTTCCTACAAACAGGCCTTGGGCTTAAGTTAACATGATCAATTTTCTGTTGAAATTTCTCCGACTTTTTATCTTCCACTATATGTATTCCTCCATCATCTTCAAAGCAAAATACTATATAATCCTCTTCTGAGAATCGAGGCCAGCTTGAGTCATTGCCTCCCTCTTCAGCCTTCCCTTCTGCTGAAATTTCCACAAATTCTTTCCTCTTTTCCATTTTCTTTTTCAACTTTTTCCTGTTCTTCTTTCTGTTATGATCACCAATAGGGTCGAAAACCATGTTTCTACTCGGTTTTTGAGGCGACATAGCACAATAAATATCTTTTTCTTCCTCTACCAAAAATGTACTATATCAATTAAATTTAAAGAAAAAATAACAAGAGAAGAAAAAAAAGATTGAAGCTTTAGAATTACCTAAAGGAAATCTGCAAGCATAGAAACAAGACACCCAATCTTTAATTCGCCATCTTACTAGCCTTGTTATTGTGAATGGACTGCTCATTTCGTGGAGCTGTTATTCAATATTCAAGAGAGCAAGATAAGGGAGTTTTTCTGTGAAAAGAGAATGTTAAGGAGAGGGAATTATGGGATTTTTGAATTTGAAAAAAGAATTAAAGAAGAGTGAAGACATAGGAGCATGAAGAGGGGGAATTACAGTTGTATATATCCCATCATGATTAATGAATTGAGTCGGTTATAATTTCTTCTAACATGCTATAATGGGAGTAAAACGAGGAGATATATATGGCAATTTTCAAGAACACAACGTCTCACACTTAATTTTTTTTCCTACACTTTGTTTATAAGCCAAAATGAGATAGTAATAGAATCCAAATTCCAAATATAGAAGAAAAAACGATGTACTGCTTTTAATGCTACACGTGCGACAGTGTTTGGATCACCACATTCTCGTGAAGTCTATACTTCTCGAGCTATTTCAAAAGTTCAAAAATAGTGTATGTGCTTTATATTCCTACTGTTTTAAAAATGTCCATGGCTATATTTGTAAAATTTTCTTTTGGTCCGTACCGTAATTGGTAAATTGTATGTGTAGGTTAGGTTCTTCCTACAATAGGCAGTTTCTACAATTTAATCCCCGCCTTTAATTGGTTATTGATTGTCTCTTCTTGTTGTTTATTTCTTGTTTCGACGGAAATTTCAAAAAAAAAAAAAAAATTCACTCTCATTTAAGACTTATCTATGCAAGAGTATAGGACCCGTTTGTCCATAAAAAAAATTATTTTTTTTTAAAAAAAATTGTTTTTTCATAAAATTTTGTAAGTTTTTAAATTTTTTTCGAAAATGAGTTTTTCAAAGAAAAACCAGTTTTTCAATTTTTTTTAAAAAAATCATCACTTACAAAAATATAATATTTTTTCAAGTGAAATGCATGTTCAAACATAATTTCAAATATAATTTCAAATAATCTATTTTTCGACTTAACTCCAAATACTAATTTTTTCCCCCAAAAATTATGGAGTAGTTTTTATGTCCAAATGCCTACCTAGGCCCTGTTTGTCAAGAATTTTTTTTTCTTTTTTTTAAAAAATGTGTTTGTCCATGGAATTCTGCAAGTTTTTGAAATTTTTTCGACAATGAGTTTTTCAAAATTCAAAATTTTTTAGAAAATCTATTTTCCCCATACATAAAAATGCAATATATTTTTCAAATGAAATACATGTCCAAACATAATTTTAAATTTCAAATATTACTTTTTTCAAAAATTATAATTTTATGTCCAAACGCCTACTTAATACTACGTGGTTTTGAACGGGTTATTTTTCCTTCCAACTTCACATGAAAAAACAAATGATTATCCAACTTTAAGCTATAGAATATTTTCCCTTCTATCGTTTGTATTCTGCTCATTACGTTACCAAGATTCTAGTAAACTTGTCGTAAAATTTGATCCATTGTCTCATGCAATATAGTACTTTTGATGTCATGCTTAATTGTTTCATCTCTTTTATATTTAAGTTTCGTCAATAGATTTTTGAGTTTTGATTTTCATTGTAAAGTTATCAGTACATGCAATTTGTATTTCTAACTTTTTGTTCTGTTTTTCTTAACTCTTTCATTATTCAAATTTAATAGTTTTGATTATTACTTATTTACTCTTTTTAGTACAAAAATAAAATTTTATATAGCTGAGCTGAATAAGATAAATTCAAAAGTAAAGAACACCATTACATAATAATTTCTGAATCGAAAGAGTGCTAGTATAATTTGTAGGATAAAATAGACATTTACAAACTGAATTGAGATAAAAATTGGGATGTTCTATTTTCTAAACAAAGTTAAAGGAGAAAAATAATTTTCAATGAATAGGTAGACGTTTTGTACAAATTAATTTTCCACTGTTCTAGTTGGAAAATTTTTCAATCAAATTACTAGTAGAGTAGTAAGTAATTTGTCCCTTTGGGGACATTTGATGATCTTGGAACGACTAGATCACGTGCGTGAGCGGGGGCTCGCACGTGAGCATCAATTCCCCCGCCATATATTAGATCTTTGCTCCTCCCTAATCCCTATCAACGGCCAACGCCCAAGATTGGAGGAGTAAAATGGAAGAATCAGAGAAAAGTTTGGAGGTCCGTAGCCTAATGGGCGAATCCTTAATCGTCTCCGTTTCGCCGGACAAAACCATTCAAGAACTCAAGCAACTCCTCAAGCAAATTTTCCCTCCCGCTTCAAATTCCCCAAATTTCCATCTTTTTCTCAAGGTAATTTCTTCCATTCCTCTCCTCTTTACCTGATAATTATTGAAATGCTAAAATTTAGTTTCTAGCAGAAAGCAAAAATTTAGTAGTAGTATTTTTTATGTTGATCTTGTGCGGTATATTTTATAATCAGGGTGTGAAATTGGGTTTAGAGAGTAAGGTAAGTGATCATTCAGTTGGAAGTGGGGAATTTCTGGTACTTGTTTCCTATACAAAGAAAGACAGACAACAGAACAAGAAAACCGAGACACATACAAGTTCATCTATCCCAGTTGGTGACTCAACTCTGAAACAGGCGGAGGCAGCATGGTCTGACATGATGCAAGACTTGTCTTACTTCAGCACCATCTCTGCGGACGACATTCAGACCGAAGTTCTATTGGATGCAACACACAATAGCAGTGTTCGGGCAAATTGTTCTTCAGAGGTTAAGCGCAAGAGAAGCGTCAAGAATGACAAGATGGAAGGATATGCAGATGAGCTAGCCGTGAGCATACTAAAATCATCTACCCAAGACATGGATGACGAGAAAGCTAAGATATTTGTTCAGGTTTTAGCGTCTATAAATTGTTTTACCAACCCTGGTTCAGGTGACTGCGCGTGTAAGGAAGCCAACAGAAAGGACAATGTGGTTGATCCATGTTCAAGTTGTAGTGATTCGTGTGGGTGCCCAACGTGGTTGAAGAGTATTAGCAAAGTGTTTTCTTTTTTAAACATTTATTCTGCTTCCTTGCAACTTCAGCAGGTACAAGTTACCTACTCTAGTCTGAAGGGAGCACTTGGTCATCTATGTCCGTTTGGATTTCAAGCCGGTGTGGCAGATATCGAGCAACTTTGTCTACTTTGTCCTGAGGTACTTTGTTTGGAGCTCTGACTATTTGAACAGTTTTATC